CGTGTGTATGAGTGTTTTGCCTGTGTGTGTGCACAGAAGTCTGTAGAGGGTGCTGGGCCTTCAGGAACTGAAGCTACGCATATGTATGCTGGGAAGTGAACTTGGGTCCTCTGCAAGAGTAACAAGCGCTCTCATCTGTGAGCCATCCAGACTCCAGAGTTTTATTCTTTAAATAAAATTCAGGTATCAATGTTCAGAATAGCTATTTACCATATGCAACTGCAGAAGCAAAAGCCTTTCAATGAATTCGTGAAATATTTCAACTGCTAATTGGTAAAAATTAAAATAGAATTTTAACCCATAATTTCACAAGCTGACTTGTTCAGGGTAAACTGAAGACAGGTTGTCAGTCATTAACCTGCTCAGTGTCTCTACTGGATTTTTGGTGCACATTTCATGTCCCTTGTGTTATTTCTCTCTCTATGTGTTTCTTTGTCTATGTCATTGTGATATGAATTATACAAGGTAAACTATAAAAACTAAAAAAAAATAATTCTATCAGACAAAGGTAATTATTTTTATTTTGAGACAGCTCTTGTGTAGCCCAAGGTAGCCTCCAGCTCAAAATGTAATTGATAAGAAACTTAACTTTTGTTTCTACCTCTTAAGAGCTGGGATTTTAGGAGTAGGTCCATAGTACCCAGCTCTTAAGAGGTAGAAACAAAAGTTAAGTTTCTTATCAATTGATAAGTTTCTTATCAATTACTATGGGTACGGTACCCATAGTACCCAGTGATAGCACTCTAATCACTGAGCTACAGCCACAGCCCATCCTTTATATTTTGATAAACTTTTCCTTACAAACAATTAAAACCTAATACAATTTAAAATACTCCTCTTTGGATCTACTTCATATCCTGAATATAATATGAAAAATTTAATATTTTAGAACATCTTTCTAAAGTTTTTAATTGATTGCATAATTATTCCTGATATAGATCCATAACTCAATTAAACTCATTTCTGAATGTTCACCCTTTCAAGAAATCTTGACTCCCAGATTTTTTGATTGCTTGAAGTAACGAGTGTTACATGTTACCCACAAGACCGAACTGTGGAACACCACATAACTCTTCGGTCAGCAATGGACCACAAAAAAATTTCCAGCGCCTAACCACTTTATAGCAGTGGCCGTGTGGTCATAGAACAATGCTGTACTTGTGTTTGTGGTGACACTAGTGTACACAACCCTAAAATGCTGCCAGCTGTGCGAAAGCAGAGTGGTACAAGCATTTGTCAGTGATCGAACTAGTCAGCAACTCATGAGTCTCCCTGCCACAATTTTATCACTAGGTTATACTTCTTTCACTTAAGAAGAAATATGCCATGTTAAAATTATACCAGTTTCTTGTATGAAGTATTTTCTGAGTGTTTTTTTTTCCTCTTATACTCATTTAATTCTGTTTCGTTTATTGTGGCTCTAAGAGAAATAGCTATCACTTAGGTGTGTAGTAGGCTAAACCATCTAGGTTTGTGCAAGTGTGCTCCATCATAGGCTTTTTTGTAATGACAAAACCCCCTCGTAGTGACAGATTTCTTAGATCTTATCCTGTTATTACCCTAAGGCTTAAACGTCGTCCTACGTTCATTATTGAGAACAGTCTACTCACTATACTGAAGAACACCATTAATTTTGGATCAGTTGAACTATAGTATGTTCCAGAATGTTTTGCTTAAAAACAAAAAGCTTTTGAAAGAAATTCTAAAATTACATTGAGCTAACATACCTAGCTTATCAAAGAGACCGCTGGAAAGGCTATAGAGATACGGTAGCTTGTCAGTTCTTAGTGGGAACGCAAGGTGCTTCAAATATTTTAGGGGGCATTTGGCAATATATTACAAAAGTGCATACTCATTTACCCTTTGATACTGCAATCCCTGAACAAATTTTTTTCCAAAGATAAAATAACTAAAACACCACAAAACATATGCCCAAACCACAACTCTACAATAGTGAGGCTGAAAACAAGTCTATGTCCATAAGCAGAGGGCTACATGAAAAAGCCAGGACACAGCCTCTGGATGGAGAATCCCGCAGCCAGAAATAAGAATGGCTACCTTTATAAGTGACTAGGGAGGAACCTCTGACCCATCTCATTATGTGAAAAAAGAAAGGCTGGGAAAAGTGTAAGGACTATGCTTGCATTTTCTAAGGAAAGCAACACAATATATGTGTATGTATGTGTACACACACTTGAATTTAAAAAAAGTAAAACAGTAACTTTTGAGAGGAGATCACTCAACAGTTAAGGGCACTTGCCACCAACCCTGACAACCTGGGTTCAATTCCCAGAACTCACATGGTAAAGAAGAAAACATACTCCTGTAGTTTTTTCTCTGACCCATACACATTATGGAACACAGCATCCCTATCCCCAAATAAATGTAACAAAACCCAGTAATTTTTAAAAATTTAAGCGTAGAAGGAGAGAGCAAGGTGGTTGAAAGAGTGATAGAAAACGGGTTTCCCGGATTGACAAAACTTGTGTAAGCATAATGGAGCTTAAACTAATGTAAAAGTTGTACCTTTAGCGCATGTATTTTGATGAGCTTGGAATATCCATGGGCTTTTTTTTAGTATATCTTGTTCTGTAGGTTTGAAGTTGGACTGTGTGGTTTTCGGTTACTTACTGAAAGTGAAAAACCAGCCAGCAATGAGCACCTCCTGGATTCTTTAAAAACATCAATGATACTAAGGCTCTTCAGAAAAATGGCTGACTGCAGGTCCAAGAGCAAGAATTACAAAGCGTGACCTTGAAATACTGTATAGCAAGAAGACGGCCAGAGAGTATTAAGACTAATAGAAAAACTTAAACATCAACAAAGAGTAAGTGCATCACTGGGTACCTTAATAGACAGATGTGCATTTTCTTTAGAGAACTATGCCTTAGTCAACACGTAAATCATAGTAGATTAGAGAAACAGTATTCTGCGGTCCTTACTGAACTGACAGATCTGTGACAGACCACCACCACCCTGTTCTGTACCCTGAGAACTGCTGCGGAACTGATGATCTAAATTATCACTAAATAATATTTTTTTTAAAAAGTATTTTTAAAAAAGGAAATACTTTTAAGTACAGACATGTAATGGCTTGTAAAAGGGGGAAGAATGGTTTTCTACAGAATGTTACCATTTAAATAAAAATGAGAAAAAAATATTTTTTTACATAAATTACAATCTATTTTGTAAAATGCATATAGAAGAGATGTTTGCTTTAGCTGCTTTTTGGGTGGCCAGAAAGCAGTACATAAAGGGAAGTCTTACCATATAACTTTTTGTAGCATCCACATTTTAAAATAAATGACCCTATGACACACACACCTATACATACATTAAAAAAATCAAATAGAATAAAATTATAAAGAAAAGTGTAGGACTGGAGAGATAGCACAATAGTTAAGAGCACTGGCTGATCTTCCAAAGGACAATGTTCAATTCCCAGTGAACACATTGTTGCTTCTGTCTGTAACTCCATTTCCAGTGGATCCAACACCCTCACACAGAAGTACAAGCAGGCAGAACACCAAAGCACTTAAAAATTAGTAAATCTCTGTTGGTCTCCTTGTGAAGTTCCCAAAGTGGGCCTAGGGGGTCCTGCAGAGACCAATACTCCAACCAAGGACCTTGCAAGGAAAGGACCTAGACCCTCTGCTCAGAGAAAGCCCATAGGCTGCTCAGTTTCCAAGTGGGTTTCCTAGTAAGGGGATCACAGACTGTCTCTGACATGAACTTAGTGGTAGGCTCTTTGTTCATCTCCTTCTGGGGGGTGCATCCTTGCCAGACCACAGAGGAAGATGATGCAGCCAGCCCTGATGAGACCAGTTAGGCTAGGGTCAGCAAGAAGAGGAGGAGGACCTCCCCTATCAGTGGACTAGTGAAAGGGCTTAGGGGGAGAAGAGGGAAGGAGAGTGGGACTAGGAGGAGGTGAGGGAGGGGGCTACAGCGGGGATACAAAGTAAATAAATTAAAATAAATAAATAAAAATTTTAAAAATAAGTCTGCTTTCCTCTCCCCAGGAACAAGGGCAGCCAACCTTGGATTCGTCCCTCTATACCATACACCCTCCCAATAAATCTCTTTTATGAGATTTGCTCCCTGGTGTGACTCTCTCATCCAAAGAAGTTAAGAGGCAATACAGAAAGAAAGGAAGAAGTAGAGCAGGGCAGAGGTTCCTGAGTTCCTTAGCTCAGCTGAGGAGACTTCCTCTCAGAGCTATGTGGTTGCTAGACTCCCATGTGTCAGGATGCCCTGCAATTAGGACACTGTCCCACCAAAGAGCTGTGTGGTTCCCGGGGTCCTAAGTCCCAGGACACCCAGAGCAACACAGAGAAACTCTGTCTCCAAAACACAAAAAAAAACCAACCCCTCATATACATTAAAAAAAAAAAACAGAAAGAAAAAAAGAAAGTGTAGTTATATAAAGAAATGTTTTCATTATTAGAAACTGAGGCATTTATCAGTAAACTATCATCTGTGTACACCTGAAAATATTTAAAAAGTAAATCTGGAAAAAAGTTAAATATAAGCTTTGACTGTATGAAACTGTGTTACACAAATGTATCAACTTCTCACAACAAAACACAAAGCAAGGGGGATACAAAGTGAATAAAGTGTAATTAATAAAAGTTAAAAAAAAAAACCACAAAGCAAAATCATCAGAAACAACAGAAACACTGGAGCCTACTTAAATATTGCACACATAGATCAAAGCCTGAAGCCTCTCTTTTTTTGCTAAAAAAGACAAGGATCACAGCCCAACCCAGAATAGGCCCCTGCTCCTGTAAACAGAAGAGAGGGGACAAGCAGAGAAACAGAAGAGCTGGAGAGACCTGAGGTAGCTCCCTGCTGAAAAATCTCAACAAGCAACTCAAGGGATGAGGACACTGTCCAGTGGGGTGGCCAAGAGACTTCCCCATCAGCTCCTTAGTCAGAGGACACAGGTGTAGCCTGCTAAGTAATACCCCAGACTGGCCATAGGTACATGGAAAAGCACTTACTTTTTGCTCGCCTCACAGACATCTGTGATGTTGGAGAAAAGGTGATGCCTCTCTGTCTTAGTCATCGTGTCACTCAGTTCTTTAGAATCTTTAAACATTCGGATCAAGATCTCCAAGCTGAGTAAGTATGAATGCTCTGAGGATATGACTTCAAAGATTGCCTGGAAAAGCAATAAATAAATAAATACATACATACATACATACATACATAGATGGGTACATGGAGAAATGAATAGAGAAGTAGATAAATAAATAAACACTTTGTTAATTATTTCAACTGAATAATTAAATACAACTTCCACTGTTCTGTATAGGGATGGCATGGGAAGTACACCACAAAGCTACTGTCTTTATAGAAGGCCTGTGTACCCAAACTAAGGACTGTTACAGCCTGTACATAAGCAAAAGCAACAGAGCCGGGATGACTTTCTATGGCATCCTGAGGTCGTGCCTTTGCCACAGGGTACAATCTATGGAAGGAAGTAGGGCATGTCATAAAAATCTCACTGTGACAGTAATTAACCTTAGGGGTCACCTCCTTCAGCCCTGCCTGCTTTCAAAGCACACTGCTTCAGGGACAATGAGAATTTATGATCATTTTCTCACAAACAGTCCCCTCGCTCCCTTTTTGTGTTTGTTCTTTCTCTCCATGTCTTAATATGACTAACTTGCCGTCGACAAGCAAATATTCTGTGGCATGACCTCACCTACCCTTAGAAGGTTCTCAGCCACCACAGGAATTCTTTCATATAATTCAGACAACTGAAAATAATTCCATCTGTTCAACAAGCCACCCACTCCACACTCATCAGTGTCTCAAGAAGGAACAAAGCATCCTCGGCAAAGACCCTTGATGACAGACACAGAGATTTCTGATAACGATGAATGATGAAGTGCCAAGCCACATCTAGAGAGACACCAATGCGCTGTGTAAAGAATTCATCTGCCTCTTCAACCAACTCAGAGATTCCCTACTAATGGGAATGCTAGAAAAATTTCTCCATGTGGGGGGTAGCGTGTAGGTGTAAACATTCTTACAAGCTTGGGTACCTTGACTTCTAGGTCCTGTTACCTTCAAGCCCTTGCCCCAAGAGTACAGAGGATGAAGGCTGTGTGGGAGCAGGACAGGCATAGGCAGGTGGATTCCTAGCTGTTGGTGGCTGGGCTATATCTTGCACATCAAGTTAGCAGAGCTAGCCTGCCATCACTGCCCTTTTTAACATCTGAAAGGTTTTGGAGACTTTGACCTTAAAGATGCTGGTCTAGCCTCTACTAAGCTCCAAGGAAATAACTGACATAACTATTTAAAAAATAAACAGTAAGAACATCAAAAGTTAGCCCGTACCTTGTATAAGTCTATGTAATCAACATGACTGTCCTGAATAAATACAAAACAAACCAAAAAAGTTCTCCATTCCTGAACAGAAATAGCAGTGATAGATGGTTGATGTATTCTGTACCTTAGGATGACTTCAAATATTTTCAACAACAAAGTTTTCTGCCATCACACCCAAAATAAAAGATAGAGAAGAGATACCCTAAACCATACAGAACAGATTACATGAAAAGGCAAGTGCTGTCTCCAGTGCAGAAAAGTTGCAGGAGTAATGGTTGACTATAACACCAAAGGGCGTTAGAGATTACACAAAAGTAGGGGTGTGGCAGAGAAAGAGAAAAGAGTCAGCATGAAACTTAAGCTGTCCTGATATTTGTATCACGAATCTCAATAAACATTTTTAGAATTCAATAGAAACAGATGAAAAGTCAAATGCAGAAGATTTAAAAGGGGAATTTTTTTTTTTTCATCAAACTTCAGACTCTGGAGAAATTCCTGATTTTATAAACAAGGAGAGAAAAGTATCACTTATTCCATAATATTAACAGAAAAGAAGAGCCTTGTCCTCTGACAGTCCTTGGTAAAACTGCTATAGGCCTTCAGAGACTGGAACACCACAAAGAGGCTTAAAACATGACCATGTGGTGGTGGCAGCTCGTGCCTTTAATCGCAGCACCTAGGAGACAGAGGCAGGTGGATCTCTGTGAGTTTGAGACCAGCCTGGTCTACAGAGCAAGTTCTAGGACAGCCAGGGCTACACAGAGAAACCCTGACTCAAAAACAAAATGAAAACCAAACCAAAACAAAATGCCCATCATAGAAAAACCTCTAAATAGACTGTGTGAAAAATAAGCAGTCTAAAAAATAACGTATATGTATGTATATGGCATTCATGGTCTAAAAACATAGATTGGAGAATACACAGCAACTTGTAATTAAACTTCTCTCTGGGGAAAGAGAGAAAGGAATTGAATTAAAGAAAACAACAGATTTTTAAGAAGTCCTATTATCTTTGGAAAATGTGAAAAAAAAATGAAATGTTCTGCATCTGTTAATTTCACCTCTGGGTACCCTCAAGTGCTACGGCTACATTCTTTAACCTTTGTAAACCTGAAAAATGTCATTATTATGTACTCACATATTTTTTTCTTTAATCCATGCCATTTGAGTAAGACAAGAATACCTGTGTTTCTGTGCTGAATTAATTTACTTGTATGTAAAAGCACATGCATATATACATACTAAGATGCATAAGATGAGGGAAAGCAACAGCTTCACAATGTCAGAAGGTGGTGGTACACGCCTTTGATCCCAGGACTTGGGAGACAAAAGCAGTGGATCTCTGTGAGTTCATAACCAGCATGGTCTATGTAGTAAGTTCCAGAACAACCAGGCAAGGGCTACATAGGAAGAACCTGTCTCAAACAGAGAAAGAGAGAGAAGAAAAAGAAAGGAAGAAAGGAAGGAAGGAAAGAAGGAAGGAAGGAAAAAAGGAACAAAGAGTGAAAGAGAGAGCAAAAGTATTAAACTGTATTGGTTTAAATTTCAAATTATAAAGTCCTATTATCTGGCTTTTTTAAAAAGTCAACTTCATTTTTTGGTGGATTTCTTAACTTATACAAAATCTGCAGAGATAATTCCATAAGTCCATGTATTCTTTTCCCAGTTTTTCCCAAGCAATGTGCACCACATAATCGGGGCATATTGCATGGACTAGAATCCAATTCCGGCTTTTTCAGTCCCAGGATCTAATGTCTGTATTTCAACATATGTCTTCCACGTGCTTTGCTATTTAAATGAAAATGATGTGAAGACTTGTGTTGCTGTTGTTGTGGGGGCTAAGATATGTGAAGCCTTATTCAAGGACAAAACTTGCTATGTTCATAGAAAGAAAGCAATACGTTTTCAAACACTGGACAAGCGCACAGAGGAGGTGAAGACAAAAACACATTCCTGAGTGTGAACCATACCTCTTGCCTTTTTCTTTCCTCCTGGCTCACTGTTTGAGACAGCCCATTTCTTTTCACCTAGAAGAAAAGGCAAAGCAGACCAGTTCATCTCACTGACTTCAACAGCTTGCTTTCAAGCATGCTCTTTAAAAATGAGCTAAAGCAAACTATACAAAATGTGGAATTAGCATAGTTCAATGTTAAAAAAAATATAAACCACAACACAATGCCATCAGTTCAAGGTTTTGTTTTACTCTTTAGATCTTGCTATTTCCAGAATATCTAAGTACTTCCAAGTCACATAAAAGAAAACAAATACCATTTTTTTTTTTTTTTTTTTTTTTTTTTTTTTTAGTTTTTGTCGAGACAGGGTTGCTCTGTGTAGCCTTCCCTGTCCTGGAGTCACTTTTGTATACCAGGCTAGCCTCAAACTCACAGAGATCCACCTGCCTCTGCCTCGCCGAGTGCTATGATGAGTGATGGCTCTCAGAGTTAACTGTTCGTGTTTACACGTTTCCCCTTAACCATGGGACTGAAAGCGTTCTTGGAGAGCTCTCCCACCACCTCCCTAAGCACCAGCGGTCTCAGCAGACTTAAACATGACAAGCCAGGACATCAATCTTCCTGTTCTGTGAAAGCAGCAATGTCTCCACGATGCAAGAGCACCAGCATTGGACTTGTTATAAAGCTGTGGTGTCATCATTTGGGTCGCTGAAAGATTCATCTTTACTACACACCTATTTGACTACTGTCAAGACACGTCAAGGTTCAGTGTCTAAACCTGAGAATGAAGGCAGCCCCTGAGCTCCAAAAAGCAGGGGCCTGGTTTTCTCCTGGTATACCTAACACTTCTGCCAACATAAGAAATATATTCCCAATTTTCAGTCAACGATTCATTTAACAGAAGAGGAACAGTCACACCCTAAGCATGAGACCGCTGCAAGACAGGAACGTGTGCTTCTTTTGGAGAGGAAATCTGCATCAATGAAACAGAACTGTTTTTAAACCTTTTGCTCTCTTACCTTCCCAAACAATTAAGAACTGTTTCTCTAGCCTCATCATTAAACTGACACCTGACCTTTTCATCATTAGCCTGAAAACCTAAGAGAACATGTCTGATAACTGTTACATCTTCAAATTTTAAAATGCATCCAAAGTAACATGAACAATGTAAGTATTTAATACCCTCTATCACCCATGGAGAACAAATTTCCTTAGCAGCTAGACAATACATATTATTCTTTTCTCTTTTAAAAATCATATTTTTATGTCATTTTCCCATCAAAATTTCATAATGTAATATAAAAACTTGTGTTCAGGTCTCCTATTAACCACCATTGGAGTACTTTGAAACCAGAGATATTTTTCAAGTTTAATTTTCTAAAATCCCCTCCAACTATAAAGAAATTTTCCTAGAACATATGTCATTAACAACGTACACTTAAGACAGCATGATCACTAACATTCTGTGGGGTTTTCTGTATTGACTTTGTTTTGTTGTTGTTTTGTTTGTCAAGATAGGCTCTCACTATGTAGCTCTGGTTGCACTGAAACTCACTATGTAGACCAGGCTGGCCTCAGACTCACAGAGATCTACCTGCCTCAGCCTCCCAGGTGCTGGGATTAAAGTTGTGAGCCACCACACTTGACAACATTAATTTACTACTAACAATTTTAATTCATTAAGTATAAAAAGTAATTTTTTTATAATGATGTCTCCCACTAATGACACCTTTAACCAAGAAGATTCCACTGAAACCAGTATTTCAAACTTACTCTTGTCATCCTGTCATTAGGGTCCTAGATTTACAACCCAGGACAAGAGGCCATGGAAAGGCTTGAGACGGGTAAGAGAAAGCTCTCTCTGTGTATCAAACAGACAAGAAAGCAGCTGTGAAAGGAAAGGTAGAAAAGCAGCCCTGTCATAATACCAGCTACAAATGTACTTTTAGAAGAATACTCAGAAGCTGGGGGTCTAGAAGATGAAACCTTAAAAATATTCCTGGCCGTAATTACAAGATCTTCCCGAGGTCCCAAGGGAATGACACATTACCTATCATGAAGGCCACTGGGGCATGATGCTTTCTGTGTAGTACTGCTGTAGAAACTGCAGACAATCACACCATTGTCTTTACTTTACGTTTGATAACCATTTAGAGAGAAATAGAGCAGAAGGAGCCCCAAATCAATAGTAAAATCAATAATCATTGATCACTAATTACACGCTAGGAACTGTGTTGAGCACTTTATATAGTTCCCATTGGGCTCTCATAAAAATTCTGGAAACTTGATAGTGTTCACAGATGGTGTCAACTGAGGCTTGGAATCCAAAGGAACACAGCTAATAGGACCAAGGCCAGGATCTGGTCTATTCCTGTCCAAATGCAAGACTTCAGTGTTAATGATTTATAGTGAGCCATAGTGACTCCTGCTCGCTGTAACTGGCACCCCATTTCAAGGGCTGGGGACATCACTAAGACTTCTCCTGTCAGGTATGTACCAAAGTTTCCATGTGTCTCTTGGACCATGCCTATCACGGGACATTCTTTATGAAACCAGCCTGACCTGAGGTCAACCTGTCAGCATGAACTCATGGGTAAAAAGGCTTCCGTTCATGTTTTCCTAAGACAGGAGACCGGCCAGAAGAATGAAACCCTTCAGAGCTGCATTTGGTGAGCCTGGGCAGGAACTTGGCAGGATTTCCTGCCTGACAGAGTCCTGGCGGATGGATGTGCAGGCAGGCACAGGGCCACAATCCCTGCAGGTGAGGTCACCAGCAAGCCTTGCCACACTGCTGATTCTCTGTCCAATTGGAGCTTACATCTAAAATGTTTCTAGGGAGCAAAATTAAATATCTACTTAGAGACCCACAGAGATGACAGCTGGTATTTCTGAGGGTTGAAGAGTACCTCATCCAATCAAGGGGAGAAAAGAAGTAGTTGCCCTATGTAGTGGGAAGACAAAATATTTTGAAGACATTAAACTCTTGCAAAGAACTATTACTTTTCTGTAATACTAATGCAACGAATGACAAAATGTTCCTTTTACCAAGTCATACATAAAAGCCAGTGGTGCCTCCAGACAAATGTGGTGACAAAAAAAATAAAAAAGACTCCAGGAAGTGTTCTTGAATTATGACTAAGGAAACTGTATTGGAGCACAATCAGGGAGGCTGAAAGTTCACTCTGGTGAGTTATGACAAAGCAGTCCCTTGTGGCTGTCAGCCAAGGTCACAGGGCCTGTCTTCGCCCTGCCCATCCTCCTGCATCAGTCACTAACACCATGGACAGGATGCCAGAGGAACCATTCTCTCTACCTGAGGGCACTTCCACAGTAGCACCCAGGGTGTCTGACAGCTGTCTGGAGACACTAGGTCATGAGCAGATAAGATGGCATGAGAAACTGAGGAGTGTGGAGAGGTGAACAAGGAGCGAGTACTCCACAAGGCCAGAGTGTTGGAAGGCAGATAGAGCCAGAGAACAGGAGAGTACAGGAGCATCATGCAGGAGGGACAGAAGAAGGGAGGAAGGCACAATTCAAAGGGGGTGGGGGGAGAAAGACTGTATATAATATGTATATATTGAGAAAGTCTTTTTAACATAGGAATTCAAGATTCAAAACAGTAATCTTGTCAGGAAACTTAAGCCAAAATGACTAAAAGTCATTTTGCTTTCTGAAATTTGCAAGCTTTTGCTAGGAGAATCTAAAGAATAGTCACATTTATTCCATATCCTTAAGCGCAACCCTTGTTTCCATGTATAGAAAAGAAAAAGAAAATACCAGCCACTGAGACTATGAGTTCTAATTTTTCATCCAAAGTCAAAGAAAGTAAAATTGTTCAGCTTTCTTTTTATTTCTATTTTTAAATCTTATTTTAGCCTGTAAATCACAGTATCCTCTTTATTGGCTTTATTATTGGTACTAATTGCTTTGAAAATGGGGCTTATCCATGTGGGCAGCTTCTTATTTCTTCTTTCCCAAAGCTGAACTTTTACACTCATTTGATGCTGAGCAAATAGCTTCCTAGTCCAGCTAAAGCCTCCTGGCAAGATGCAAGCATGGAAGCCCCCTTTGTCATTTTTTAAATATTCACTGCATCTCCAAAGACCCAGCTGGGTACAAATGGGAACAAGCAGGTGGCCAGAGTAACCGCATATGAACGTCCTTGCTTAATTAATTTTACTCCTCATCAATAAGTAGAATTTTGAAAGTATATTCAGTGTGAGGTTCTTGCTTTTGGACAGTCTAACCAGGTCACAAAACTGTTCAGATCTGGCCACACAAACTCTGCACAAAGTCAGACATAGTCAATAACTATACCATTTTAAGTGAATAAAAATTAACATCCAATAAAGCATCAGAATGTGTAAGGCTGCACTTCTGACCTGCTATAGACAGGAAAATACATCTGAGGTTTAAGACAGAGAACACAGAGAAGTCATTATGTTAAAATGTCTAATGTCACAGTTATAGATTATATCCACTGTGAGCTATATATTTTATATACCTGAATAGTAAATTAACAATTTGCTAAACTACTTCCTTGGATATGAAATTGTCCAGTTCCATCCTTAAACAGAGTTTACTAAATCTCTAAAAGGATAAATAACTCAAAGCAAACATTTGGATGTTAATTCACACCAATTTCCTTCTTGAAGTCTGAATGCTGGGGTCTCCCTCTCAAATTCACATACTGAAACCCCATCCTCAAGCTGATGGTATCAGCTGGTGCTGGCCAGGTATTCTAGGAGGTAATAAGGTCATGTAGGTGGGGTCCTTGGGACTGAGATTGGTGCCTTTAGAAACAAGCCAAAAGGAGATCCCTTGCTCCTGACAGCATGTACATGTGCAGCAAGAAGAAACTCTGAGTCAGAAAGAAACGTGTCATCAAAGCCAAAGCTGCCTTGAACTGGACTTTTCAGCCTTCAGAACTATAAGGAAAGAACTTTTGTTTTCATAATCCACCTAGGTCGCGGTATTTTGTAATAGCAGCCTGGAAAATGGCACTCTGCAAGTCTAAGCTTTGCAGATGACTATCACAGGGAAGAGCAGACAGGCTTCCCATGGAATTGACTTCT